CTAGAAGGTTGTGGTAAGCAAAACAGCATGGCATGAGCATAAATACAGAAGCATAGACAATTGAAAAGAATAGAGACCCTAGAAGTAAAGCCATGCATCTGCTAAGAATACCTACTGGAGAAAGGCCAATCTTTTCAAAAAATGGTGCTGGGAAAATTGGGTATCCACACAGAATAATCTATTATTCTGAGAGATAGACCCCTATAGACCAGTTACAAAAATCGCTCAAAATGGATTGTTGACTTAAATGTAAGACCTAGAGCTATGAGAGTACTAGAAGAAGCATACAGGAAATGATTCCGGACATTGGAATGGGTGATCATTGCTTGGATAAAACCCTCAAAACGTATACGCACACACACACACACACACACACACACAAAGCAAAAATAGGGCTGGTGGAGTGGCTCAATAGGTAGAGTGTCTCCCTGGTAAGTAAGTATGAGGCCCTGAACTCATCCTCAGTACCTCCAAAAACAAAACGAAACAAAAAAATAGAGAAATGGGATTTCATCAAACTAAAAATCTTCTTCACAGTAAAGAAAACGATCAACAGAATGAAGAGACAAACTAGAAAATGGGAGAAAATACTTTCACAATACACATCTGACAAGAGGTTAACATCCAGACTACATAAGAAACTCCAAAAACCTAATAGCAAAACAACAAATTGCCTGATTAAAAAATGAACAACTGGCTGGGTGCCAGTGGCTCAAGCCTATAATCCTAGCTACTTGAAAAGCTGAGATCAGGAAGATTGCCATTGGAGGTCAACCCAGGCAAAAACGTTCATAAGACCCCATCTCAACCAATGGGTGGGAACAGTGGCATGTGCCTGTCATCCCAGCTATGCAGGGAAGCACAACTGGTCCAGGCCAGTCAGGGAATAAAGTGAGACCCTATTTAAAAAATAACCAACAAGAAAAGGGCTGGAATAGTGGCTCAAGTGGCAGAGTGCTTGCCTAGTAAGCACAAGGCTTTGAATTCAATCTCCCCGGTACCACCACACACACAAAAAATAACATAAATAGACATTTCTGAAATAAGACATAAAAATGGTCAACAGATCTATGGAGAAAATGTTCAACATCACTACTAATCAGGGAGATTTAAATAAAAATCACAAGGAGGTATCAGTTCATTCCAATGAGAATGGCTACAATGAAAAGGTCAACAAATAACAAGTATTGGTGTGGAGCGTGTGGTGAAAGGAAACACTTGCACACTGTTGTTGGGAATGTAAATTAGTCCAACCATTATAGAAAACATATGATGGTCTCTCAAAATATTAAAACTTTAATTCCCATATGATCCAGCAAGCCCACTATGGGTATTTCTCCAAGCGAAATGAAATCAGTATATCGAAGACTCATCTGCACTGCCATGTGTCCTGCAGCACTATTCACAACAGTCAAGATATGGGAAGAACTTGAATGCCCATCAATTAAGGGATAAAGAGAATATGGTACATATATACAATGGAACACTAGTCAGCCATGTAAAAGAATGAAATCTTACCATTTCTGACGATATGGATGGAACGGGTACAGAAAGAAAAGTATCAGGTGATTTGACTCATATGAGAAATCTAAAAAATTTAACCTCACAGAAGTTGAGAGCAGAATGCTGGTTACCTGAGACTAGGGAAAATATCAGGGAGGGAGTGATGGGAAAACGTTGACCCATGAATACAGTTACATAGGAGCAAGAATTTCTGGTGTGCTATTGTACAGTACGATGATTATTGATAAGAATAAAGGAGGGTGATGGAACGGGTGACTTCAACTATGATATAGTGTAAGAACTTTTGTAAATGTCACAATGTGCCCCCAGTACAATAATAATGTACAACAAAAAAGAATATACTATATATTTTAAAAAGCTAGAAGAGTTGGGCACTGGGGGCTCATGCCTCTAATCCTAGTTACTTGGGAGGCTGAGATCAGGAAGATCTCAGTTCAAAGCCAGCCTGGGCAAATAGTTCATGAGACCTCATCTCCAAAATAACCAGAGCAAAATGGACTGGAAGTGTGGTGCAAGTGGAAGAGTGCCTGCTTTGCAAATGTGAAGCCCTGAGTTCAAACCCAAGTCCCACCAAAAAAATGAAAATAGATTTAAAAATTAAAAAGCTAAGAGAAAGGATTTTGAAAGTTTTCACAGTAAAGAAATGATAAATGTTTCAGGAGATGGGTATGTTTAACCTGATTTAAACATTACATATTATATACATGCATAAAAATATTCCCTGGTACCCTGTAAATACATATAACCTTTATGTTTTTATCTATCAGTTAAAATAAATTTAATAATAAAAACATAAAAATAGAAAAATGATCTGAATATTTTTCCAAATGAAGATATGTAATTTCCAATAAGCCCAGAAAAGATGCCCAACAAAACCATTCATTAGGAAAGTGAAACTCAGTATCACAGTGAGAAACCGCTTCACATCCACCAGTATGGATGTAATCAAAAAGGCTGACAATAACAAATGGTGGGGAAAATGGGAAATCTCCTACAATGCTAGTGGGAAAATAAATTGATCCAGTCAGTTTGGAAAACAGTCTGCCAGTTCCTCTAAAGGTAAAACATAGAATAAGCACATGATCCAGCAATTCCACTCTTAGACATCTACCCAAGAGAAATGAAAGCGGATGTTCACACCAACACTTGCACAGCACTATTCACAATCCATCAACTGGTGAATGGAAGAACAACATGTAGTATCCACACAATGGAACATTATTTAGCAATTTAAAAATGATATATTGATACCTGCTACAATATACATGAAACTTGAAAACATGTTGAGTGAAAGAAGGCAAGCACAAAAGGCCTACTTTAAATGTCCAGTATAAGCAAATCCATAGTGACAACGTATGTTAATATGATTAACTCTAGCTGTTGGGGTTGAGGGGTAAGTTGGAAGTGACTGCCAATGGGTATGGGTTTGTTGGGAGTGATGAAAATGTTCTAAAATTGATTATGGTCATAGTTGCACAATTTTGTGAACATTATAAAAATCAATTCACTGTATGCTTCAAATGGCTAAATTGTATAGATTGTGAATTATTCCTCAATAAAACTGTTATATAAAAATGAAGTAACATTCTGCAGCTTAAGCTGGGTGGTGGGCTTCTGGGTGCTCATTTTATCATAATTCCTTAAATTTGCATTTAGATTGTTCTTCATGGATAAAATGTATGTCAAAATTTTATTAAGACACATATGACCTACCAAAATTGAATCAAAAGGACATAAAAAACTAAGCAAATCAATAACAATCAATAAGATTGAAGAAATAATAAAAACTCTCCTAACAAAAGAAAAATCCAGGACTTGAGGGATTTGCTGCTGAATTCTACCAAAGTTTTAAAGAACTGACACCAATGTTCCTCAAACTTTTCCATAAAATAGAAAGGGAAGGAACACTTCCAAACTCATTCTATGAAGCCAGCGTTACTTTAATAAGGACACAAGAACAAAAAGAAAATCATAGGCCAAAGATCCTTAATGAGCACAGATAAAAATTCTCAATAAAATACTTATAGATCAAATTCAACAACATATTAAAAAGGTCAATAAAGTTGATTTCATTTCAGGGATGCAAGGATGGTTCAACATACACAAGTCAATAAACACAATATAATACATAAACAGAATTAAGATTAAAAACACACAATCATCTTGGTAGATGATGAAAAAAGTCTTTGGTAAAATTCAGCATCCCTTTATGACAAAAGCCCTGATGAAGATATGTGTAAAAGAATTGTACCTCAACATAATAAAGGCCTCCCGTGCTAGCAGACTGGGAGAATTAATGCTGTTAGAATGGTGATACCACCAAAAGCAATGTACAGATGCAAGGCAATTCCCACAAAACTAGAAAATGCGATTCTAAAGTTCATATGAAAGCAAAAAGACCCCAGATAGTGAAAGCAATCCTGAACAAAAGGAGCAATGCTGCAGGTATCACAATACCTGTCTTCAAGAGATAATACAGAACAGCATGGTTTTGGCAACAAACAAACAAAAAAACAGACACATGGGCCAGTGAAATAGGATGGAGGACCCTGAAATAAACCCACGCATCTATAGGCAACTGATTCTTAACACAGGAACCAAAAACATGTACTGGAGAAAAGACAGCATCTTCAGCAACTGGTGAACATCCACACAGAGAAGATTGAAACTAGATCCCTATCTCTCATTCTGTACAAAAATCACCTCAAAGTGGTATCAAATCAGAGACCTTAGTAGACACTTTGAAACTTCTAGAGGAAACATAGGGTAAACAATTCAAGATACTGGCATGGGCAGTGATTTCCTGAATAAGATTTTATTTCCTGAACAGGGAATAAAAGCAAGAATTCACATACGGGATTACAGCAAATTAAACAGCTTCTGCACAGCAAAAGAAACAATCAGAGCAAAGAGACAGCCTTTCATCTAACAGAGAACTAATATCCAGAATAAATAAGGAACTAAAAACTTAACAACAAAAGAACAAATAATCTGACCAATAAATTGGCAAATTATCTGAACACACACTTCTCAAAAGAAGCACAAATGACCAATACGTTTATGGGAAAAAATGTTCAACATCTTTAGCCATCAAGAAAATGCAAATCAAAACTATACTGTGATTCCTTCTCACTTCAGTCAGAATGGCTACCATCAAGAAAACAAACAGCAAATGCTGGCAAGGATGGGCATATAACCAAAGGAATATAAGTAAGCATGCAATAGAGATATCTGCACACCCATGCTTATCACAGCACTGTTCACAGTAGCCAGATATGGAGTCAGTCTAGGTGCCCATCAACCGATAAATGGATAAATAAAATATGGTCTATATACACAATGGAGTATTATTCAAACATAAAGAAGAAGGAAATCATGTTTGCAGGAAAACAGATGGAACTAGAAGTCATCATGTTAAAGTGAAATAAGTCAAACACAGAAAGACAAGCATCACATGTTTTCTCTCATATGTGGAAGCTAGAATTAAAAAAAAGAAAACTTGAAAGTAGTAGAGGGACTACTAGAGAAGGGTATGAAAGCTGGAGGAATGGGGAAGAACGGAAGCAAGAGAAGTTATTTAGATGGGCAGATAACACCAAAGAGTGATACATGCATGTTTGGAAACGTCACAGTGAAACCCATTAATATGTACAAATAACATGCATTAATATTTATGACAAAAACATTTACTGAGGCAGAGAGGGCTAACTCCTTGGATCGAAACAGAATTTTGCTAGAGGAAAGCCTTTTCTAGTCCTTCTCCTACCCTTCACCCCACTAAGATGATGCCACGTTGCATAGTCTCCCAGCATCCTTTATCACCCATTTTGTAGTAGATGTTCTCAGTGTTTAATATTTGTATTTCCCTCAAGATTCAATGCTCCATGGGGAGAGGGGCCCTCCCTTGCTTGTTTACTACCGTATCCCTATCAACTAATACAGGAACTTGCACATAGTAGGTGCTCAGTAAATTATTTGTTGGATTAATGGATGATCAAACCATGAAACAATAAATTAATTTCTGACATCAAGAGCAGGAATACTCAAAAGTCGATTCAGAGATATCGGGAAGATGTTAAGGATTTACCTGTGCTGAGTGAGTACATTTACAGCTGAAGGATGGTTTGCACAGTAAGCCAGGTACATAGATTTAAAATGAGGCATAAGACTTAGTAGACAGCCTCCTACTTTGTGTTGGTTTTCTGGAAACCTGTAAGCAAAACCAGATGAAAAACAGAATGTGAAATAGAAACCAGGAGGTAAAAGAAAATAATTTTAATTAAGCCTTGTGGCATGTAAACCTTCAGAATGTCCTGACAGATTTTTAAACTATATTAGAAATATTTTATTTGTGAAATGCAGATTTCTGACCACTGATTTCAACTCTAGCCATCAAACGTACCTCTAATTCTTAGGGTCAGATACTTACTTGGACTTCATGGTAGGGTTGTTGTTTGTTTGCTTTTAAGATGATTATATTCAAATTTACCTTGACACACTAAAAATAGTCTTAGCTAATTTATATGAAGTTCAAATAGAGGCAAAACTAATTGAATCCAAAAGTGTCATACCACGAAAGAATATTACTGTAGTATGGTTGGCCTGGTGATTGCTGGACAGGGTGGCCTCACAATTTTTTTAATTAATTTTTAAGTTACAAGATGCCAATTTTCATTTATAGAAAAATCAGAAGAACATAAAGAAGAAAAAAAATTACTCAGAATCACAGTATGCAGTGGTATCTACTATAACAATTTCGGCATGGTCATGAGTTTTTGTCTTTACGTTCCTCTCTAAAATGGAAAACATGAAGATTATTAATCCAATTTGTAACCTGCTCTTCCCATTTACTGAACATCTTTGCATATTTGTCATCTACATCGCTACTGGCATTTGAAGTCTCCTCGGGCCTCTATATTGTGGGATCACTCCCTCTTCCACCCTGGACAACCAACTGTGTCCTGTAAATCTCAAGAAACAGGCAATCACCTCCAATTTCTCTGTTGGAAAATTAATCTTGCAACAGAAGTATATTGCCAGATGAACATTCCAGTTAACTGTAATATAATGTTGAATGCTTCAGCAATCACTAGCCATCAAAAACATCTTGTAGCTCACACAGACCTATACTTTTCCTTCCCCCACTTACTATGTGTTTCAACTCTTAATGTAATAGACACAACACCAGGAGTGATTAAAAGAGAGAGCAAAGTGAAGCTGGGGGTGTAGCTCAGTGGTAAAGACCCTGCTTAGAATGCACAAAGGCCTGGATTCAATTCCTAGCACAACGAGAGAGAGAGAGAGAGAGAGAGAGAGAGAGAGAGAGAGAGAGAGAGAGAATAATCTGAATGACTTTTCCATATAATTTGTTACGTACAAAAGAAAGTAATCAATGTCACAGCTGTCATCTGTGGTGAATTAAGACTTTATATAACTCATAGTGACAAGAAGCAGTTAATTTATGTGATTTTTAGTTAAAGTTGGATATAATTTTCTAGACACAAGGCCTGATGTACATTTGTGATTTGACATTGAGAATACCACCACCTAGTGTCTATTCTCTGTATTGCTCTGGGACTGTCAAAATCGTAGCAAATGCAGAAATATCAAGTGCTCTTATCTAAGGCAATGGTTAAAAAGCAAACAATCCCCAGACAACGGCCCTGCCCATGCTAAGAAACATGCCACACTTACTTTGAACATTCTTCCAAGGCTTGGCAGAGTGTCTGTTGAAATGTACATACTTCCTCGAAGTTTCCCAGTAAAGATGTAAACTCCACAGTACTCAGACTGAAAAAAGCCAAACAAAAAAATTCATGCAGTTTCAGTTAATAGAACTTAAGGATGGCTTTAGATACCTTATCTGAGGTCTAATTGGCTGATGGTATCCTAACATCTGGCAAATATGAGGGAAACAATCCCTATATTTTTAGCTTTTGCTTTTCAATTTACAACTCTATGGTCTTAGGCAACCTTCTTAAATTTCTTTCCTTGCTTTTCCTTTTCTATAATATGAGTAATGGGACTGGAGGTGTGGCTCAAGCAATAGAGTGCCACCTTGCAAGCGCAAAGCCCTGAGTCCAAACCCCAAGTCACACACAAAAAAATTATATATATATATATAATTTTTATATAATATATATAGATGAATAATGATCTTAAAGCAAATTAGTGGTCCTAAGAGGGCATTTAGGCATTCATTCTACAAAGCCATGAGGAAGAAATAACAAGTGCTTAATAAATACTATTTAAATAGATAAAATACATCATAGCTAAGAATAAATGTAAAAAGTCTAGGGCACCATCTTGTACAGAACCTGGAAAAGTAATTGAAAGACACACATGCTCAAATAATGAACAGAAAACAGTAGCAAAATCAGCTTAAATTAGTTTTCTTGAGAACTAAAATGCTATATGCCAAGTAAAAGAAATCTTCACAAAAGGAAGTAGGAGGGAAGACAATAGTACTGATTTTTTGGTTATTTGTTTGTTTTTGGAGTAGACCGAAGTCAAATAAAGACAAAATGAACACTTTGATCCAGGGCCTTTGCACAAAGAATCTTCTTATTCATGCTTCCCACACCAAACAGTAAGTGAAACAAGAACAAGAGCTAAACAAGTGCTGAACGCTTATGCAAACCCTTTACAAATAAGAACTCATTTTAAACTTACAATAATCCCACAAGGTAAGGACTATTGCTGTCTCCATTTTATAAGTGAGAAGATCCAGGCACAGAGAGGGTAAGCAAATGTGTAATCAAAAGTCTCAAAGCCAGTGATCGGCAAAGAAAGGAATTAAACCAAAACATTCTAGCTCCGAAACCACGGCCTTAACCACCTTGTGGGAGAAACTCCTTGAAAGACCAGTGTCTGCCACATAGTCTTTCTCCTTAAGGATATATAATCCCAGGGGATTGTTTCCAAGAGAATACTTTTGCTGACTAATAAAAGAGGCAAGACTCAAACAAACACTACCATTAACCCCTAGAGTATAAAAAGCTCCCAGTTCCCCTGCTACAATGCCCCCTGGACCACAAGCTGGAAAACCCCTGTGATGGGTATCAAAAGCGAAACTGCTGGCCAGCCAGCTTCCCTGGTTGCTGCTCTGTCATAGCAGTGACAACCTGAGTCAGGAGCTCACTTAAACCTGACGGGGCATTTCTGGTCCCTTCCCAACCAGACAATCTAGTTTGCTCAAATGATTCTGAGGCTGACGAGACAGTGAGAAGTAATGGAAAGTGGTGTGGGGCATGCAGGTCTGACTCAGGTCTCTCACCTCTGCCAGCCTCTTTTCCTTTCTTCCCTCTCACTGTTTCTTGATTGCTAATCAGTCTCCCCCTCATTTGAAATATCTCATCTCCTTTCCCAGGATATCACTTGTTTCCTTGTCCTCTGTCACCACCAAAAAGCATATGGCACATTTCACTTAGTGGCAAGAGACATGGTGACTGTAGCCACTTACTAGCTATGTGATAGGCAAGGCAGTAAACCTCTCTGATATTTAGCTTCTTAGCTATTCATTGGAGATAGACATTCCTCCCAGACGCTAGACCCAAAGACGGACTGAGATACAACCCAACCATGATTCACTAAACACTTCATATTTCACATCATAATAACAAAACACTTTGTTGTTGATCCTATTCAAATCCTTATAACAGGAATACGAAATCCTTTCATACTGAAAAAAGATTCCCATAGTGCCATGAGAATAAGGCAGAAATTCAGCAAGACATTGTGCCTAAACAAACATGATTTGGATAAAGGAGAAAAATGGTGAAATAGATTAAACTCATTTAAGCCTGAAATTGATAGGTTAGGCAACTGTCCAGCAAAAGTTGGCTCTTATTAAGATAAAAAGGGAGGCTTTTGTCCTCCATTTACATGGGCTAACTGCTAAATTTTCTGTTTCACTTACAGACCGTGACCTCTAATGAAATGTAATCAACTAAAACAACAAATAAATGCAGTAAGTCACTATTTGTTAACTATGTTAAAAATGAATAGTTGACATTTTTCTTTTGTGAAAACTCAATTTATCAAGTCAAGCTTTAGACCAGCACTTCATATTTCTAAGACCAAAATCAGTTTTGAACATTTTGTTCTCAAAAACCCTTTAATATCTCATTTTTTTGCCTGAGTGAAATACGGGTTTGAATTGTTTGTATGAACATTCACAAAAATGCCACACTCTTTCCACCCTCAGAGCATGGAAAAGAGGTTCTGCCCTGGCAAGCAAAGTTCAGAGCGAGCATGAGAATTTCCAATTTATGTGCTTTCTGAAGAAAAGCACCCGGGAGTCCATTTTCCGCATGGTAAAACCAGACACATCACTTTAAAATATACAAGATACGTGGAAGCTAAAGAGTTGACATCATAGAAATAGAGAATAGTGGTTAGCAGAGTCTGGACAGGAAGTAGGGGGTGGAGGGATGGAGAGAGGATAGTAAACAGGCCCAAGGAGGCAGCTGGTTAGGAGAAATAACTTCTAACGCTCTAGAGCACAGTAAGGTATCTATGGATGATGACAGTAAACTGTATATCTCAAAATAGATGCTAGGGAGAATTTTGAATGCTCCCAATACAAAGCAATGATAAACATTTGAAAATGATGTAACAGTTACTGTAATCTGATCATTACACATTGTACACATGTATTGAAATATCACACTCTACCCCACAAATATGGACAATTATTGTGTGTCAATTAAATTTAAGTCAAAATTTTAAATGGAGAAGTGATAAGAAAAATACAAAATAAAAATTGTAACAGGCAGAAATTTAGACCCACTCATTCCTTCCCCACAAAGCAAGCTAAGCTTTCCAAAAGCAACATCTTGCATAATTTTTGTTGCCCTGACCATGTTCTTGGCAACCTGTGATCTGTGGAAATTCTTCTAAAGGAGAAAATCAATTATTCAGTGACATAAGAGTAGTGACGCCACACTTCAACATTATCCAGCTTTATTTGACTAGGGATTTACAATGAAAATCTTACTTGTTATTGGACTGCAGGGGTCTTAAGTAAGTGACAAGAAGAGACTGAAGTTCCTTAGCATATTCTTTTTCATTATCCAAGATGTTTTGTAACACCTGTGAAAAAACAAAGGTCAAGGTACAGTCATTGTCAAAAGAAGCCAAGGTCAAGTATATCTTTAGATCTTTTAAACAAATTACTAGGAAAAAATGCTTTCGTGTGCTTTAATAATTCTCTCCTCAGGAACGGTCTCAGTTAGCAAAAGAATATCATTCCCATTTTATAAAAGAGAAACTTGAGACCAGGTATCTTAAGCCATAGAGACTCAGTATCAGGAGAATTTAAGGATAACTGTGATATCCAACATCACAAAACACTTTTGTTTATATTTCTGGGAAGACCTTTAGGGGAAAAATGTGAGAATACAGTGAGTTGTTAAGCTAGGTTAAACTGATCTTTTAACAAAGGAAAAAGATGCTCACACAGGCAATTCAAATAGACTATGAGGAACTTAACAAGGGAAATAATACAGTACTTAACTGATACCACAAAATTACTTAGGCACAACAATCAATTTATGGTCCTACAATCTCTCCTCCTGTCCATTCTAGGGTCACACCCCATTGCCCAGCCTGTTTTAGAGACACATACAACCTTTATTTCAAGCTCTCATATATGACCAAGTTAATATTTTGATATATATTCCTTCAGATCTTCTCATTTAGTCAAGAAAAATTTACTGAGTGCCTACTCTGTGCAAAATGCATGCTGCCCACTGGGAGTTTCCACTCTATTTGCCAAGGGAGACATCAACTAGGTGACTATAAGGCCAATTAAAGCAGTCATGGTTAGGAGAAGCATATTTGTCTACTAAAATACCAGACACAAACAGTAGCACTCGGGATCTGTGGGTTCCACATCAGCTGGGTTCTGGATCCATGGATTTCCACATCCACAGAGTTCAACTAACCACAGATTGAAAAAATTTTTTAAATTGCATTTGTACTGAACATATACAGACTTTTTTCTTGTCATTATTCCCTAAATAATATGATATGGCAAGTTTAAACATGGCATGCACATTGTATTAGTTACTATAGGTAACCTAAAATTTTACAATATATGAGAGGAAGTGCCAGGTTCTATGCAAATACCACACCACTGTATATATGGGACATGAACAGCCACAGATTTTTGTATTCGCAGGAGCCAACTCCTTGAAGACACCAGAGGGTGACTGTACTCACAAGGCAATGCATGATGATCTGCTTTTGAAAGGTGGAGTGGTGAAGCAAGTGGAGGCCTGGATAACTGTGGCTTACTGGGAAACAACTGGACTGAAGGGTGGTAGTCCTGACTCTGCTACCACCTGACAGATTGTTTCAGTTTCAAGGCTTAACTCATCTCATCTCAGATTGTGACATTTCTGCTACCTTAGGGACCATTGTGAAGAGGGAGTGAGAGGCTGTGCAGGTAGGTGTTGGGTGAATGGGAAACAGTATGACGAGTGTAAGAGGCTGAAACAGTGTCTCTCAGTAGCAGCACTTCTGACTTTTCAGATCAGAAAAGTTTTGGTTGTGAGGGGCTGCCCTGTGCATTATGGGAAGGTTAGCAGCATCCCTGTCTTCTACCCACCATATACCAGTAGCTCCATCCCACATCCCGGTTATGATAACCAAAAATGTATCCAGACATTACCAAATGTCACCTGAAGGGCAATATCGGCCCACTTGAGAATCACCAACATACAAGGCCACAAGCCACAGGGTGGCTTCAAGAGCTAAGGGTTCAGTTGCAGCCACAACACCCAGTCACTTTTGTCTACTTTCAGTTCGTCTACTCCTCAGAAACTATTCTGTCAAACTGGAAATCCAGCACTCAGAAGGTTGGGGCAGGAACATCGATTCAAGACCATCCTGGGCTATGTGGTGAGTTTCAGGCCAGCCTGGGTTACAGACAGGGTCTCAACCCTGTCTCAAAAATAAATAATAAATAAATAAATTGTAAATCCAGAGGTCCAAAGGCCCTAATATTCTCTGAAATTAATCCAGTAACGAAATAGGAATGTTATCCCCTATAGAAAGTCCAAGCACAACAAAAGACATCAAAAACTACTTTGAGAAGAATGAAAATTAAACACAATATACAAAAACTCATGGAATGCAGTTAAAGCCATGATTAAAAAAACAAAAACATGGCCTACCGGTGGCTCATGCGTGTAATCCTAGCTACTTGGGAGGCTGAGATTGGGAGGACTGATTTGAGGTCAGCCTGGGCAAATAGTTCATGAGACCCCATCTCTAAAATAACCAGAGCAAAATGGACTGGAAGTATGGCTCAAGTGGTAGAATGCCTGCTTTGCAAGTGAGAGAGAAGCCCTGAGTTCAAAGTCCAATCCCACCAAAAAAAAAAAAAAGAAAGAAAGAAAACATTATAGCTGTAAAACCCATATTGAATAAAAGAAAGAGGACTTCTGATTTCCAGCCCAGCATGCAAGGAGCTTGGGAGTTCTTACTCCATCTTAATAAGAAGTGAATATCTAGACAAAGTAAAAAAAAAAAAAAACAGCAAACTACTTTTCTTACATTTGCCAGAGAAGTGAGATTACAGAAAACTACTGCTATTCCAAAAGGTGGAGAGATAGGCTGACAAAGAGAATTACACCTTACCAGACCAGAAACCCACAAGAAACCTGCACAGCAAGCACGACCAGGGTAGGAAAACCTAAACTACAATTGACAAATTGCTGGGGGGGGTCGGTATGGACAACTCTGGGAACTCCAGCAGACCCAAGTTTAGGGGAACACACACACACTTTTGTGAGTTTTACCTCCAGAAGGCCTACCAGGTTGTCCCAGTGAAGAACAGAGGAAATATTTTCATGTTTTAGGCAAGGGAGGAGAAAAGTAGCCATTACTACTCCAGAGCATTGTGGTAACCAAATTATACCAGAACATTCTGTTCTTAATGAGGAGAAACTATTTTATCAACACATAATCTGATAACATTATGGAGTTTTATGAGAGCCTAACTGACATGGAAAAGAGAAAATACTCAGGTCTAGTCAGCTCCAGCCTTCCATGTGGAGGAAAGGAATTCCCAACTCCAGCCCCCTCCAGCCATCCTGTATCACTTACAAATGGCCCCTGAGAAGCATTGGTGAAGTTTACAGGCCGGAGGCCCAGGCTCACCAAAAACTAAAACGTAATCTAAGAAAATAGGGTGTTTCCCTGTCTCCACACCTTGCTGCCACATTCCGTACCTCCTTTTACCTAGTACATTGTGTCAGGCTTCCAACAAAATATGACAAGCATCAGAACCAAAGTCACATATCACAGGAATGTTAAAAATGATCAGACAAGGCCAGGCACCCATGGCTCACACCTGTAATCCTAGCTACTCAGAGGGCAGAGATCAGTAGGATCTCGGTTTGAAGTCAGCCCAGGTAAATAGTGAGATCTTATCTCGAAAAATCCCATCACACACACACACACAAAAAAAAACCCCGGTGGAGTGACTCAAGTGGTAAAAAGATCTGCTTAGCAAGCATGAAGCCCTAAGTTCAAACCCCAGTGCCACACACACACACACACACACACACACACACACACACAAAAGATCAAAGATTCTAAAACAACTATGATTAATATGCTAAGTATTCTAAAAAAGAAAGTAGATAACATGCAAAAACACATGGGTTGCAAGCAGAGAGACACAAATTCTAAGAAATAATCAAAAATAAGTGCCTGAGATCAAGAACACTAACAGAAACAAAGAATGTCTGTGATGGGCTCAATTATAGACTAAACACAATTGAGGAAAGAATCCTTGAGTTTGAGGATATTCCAAGAAAAATGACTTAACACCAACAAAACCAGAAAGAAGACTGGGAAAAAAACCCAGAATGGAATATCTAAGAACTGCGGTATACCTGCAAAAGGTATACCAAAATAATGATTTCACAGGATACACAGAATTCAAGCTTGGTGGGGGTAGAGGGGATTCAACATTTTATTTTTCTTTTTATTTATTTTTCTTTTATTCATATGTGCATACAACGTTTGGGTCATTTCTCCCCCCTGCCCCCGCTCCCTTCAACGTTTTAAATGTTTCACTGCACTCTCTTTTTCCTTGCATGGTTTCTGAGAAATCAAATGGAACTCCTTCATCTAGTCAAAGACATGCAAGTAAGAATAGCAAAATATTCAAGATCTTGAAAAAACCCACCAACTACGAGTTCTGTATCTTGTGAAATTATTATTCCAAAGTGATTAAAACCGGTCACAGTGGCACATGCCTAATATCCCAGCAGTCAGGAGGCTGAGGCACGAGGTAAGTTTGAGACTAGCCTAGGCTACATAGTGAGACTATCTCAAAGAAAATGAAATAAATAAATTAGTTAATTTTAAAAAGTGATTGAAGTACTTTTATAATATATATATATGGGAAAATAGCATAATGAAACCCACTATAAAGTGTTTAAAAGGGGGAGTAATATACATGGTGTGAATTTGATCCAATTAATTCATGCTAATAAAAATTTTTTTTTAAAAAGTGGCTAGTGTCATGGCTCCAGTGATAAACCACCTGCTCAGCAACTACAAAGCCCTGAGTTCAAACCCTATTGCAAAAAAAAAAAAAAGTGAAACAGAAGTAAAGATTTTCTTAGACAAACAAAAACTAGGGGAAATTGTCACCAGTCAGCCTGCTTTGTAAGAAATGTAAAAAGAAGTCCTTGAGCCTCTGCCTTCTGTCCACCATGAGACCAGCAGCCTCTGCCATATACTCCAGCCACCATGATGCTCTGCCTTACCACTGACCCAGAAGCAACCAAGCCAGAGACATGGACTGAAACTTCCGAAACCATGAGCCAAAAGAAACCTTTCCTTTCAAAAAACAGAGCTGGAGATGTGGCTCAATGGTAGAGTACCTGCCTAGCAAGTGCAAGGCTCTAAGTTCAAACTCTAGTACCACCAAAAAAAAAAGGAGAGAGAAGTTCTTCATGGAGAAGGAAAATGATACAGGTCAGAAATGTGGAGTTGTATAAAGAAGAAAAGAATATTAAAGAAGGAATAAGTGAAGGCAAAATAAGAGCTTTTGCTTTTATTCTTAACTG